GCATCCCAGAAGGTACCCACCATCCCCCCCCCCCCCCCCCCCTCCCCCCCCCCCTTCCCCCGGTCTACGTCCCGTCACGGGTTTGATTCTACGCCCACTCACCGTCCCCCTCCCCTCCTTTCCATCCAGCTCGTCGAAGGCAAGCGGCATCTGAAGCTCAAGGCGCACGAAAAGGCGGTGGATGCATTCTCAGACGCCCTGGGCATGCAAGTTCAGGCAGCTGGTGAGCAACATCCCTCGACGGCTCCCTTCTACGTGGCCTACGGCAAGGCACTGCTCGACTGCGCTCGGGCAAAGGGCAACGTGCTCTCGGGCATGTCTGGCGCTGGTGCCGGCGCCGGAGGTGACGATGGTGACGATGCTGATGATCTGACTATTGCCTGGGAGGTGCTTGAACTGGCTCGGGTCATCTACAGCTCTGCGGCGGCAGCTGGAGATGCCGAAGCCGCTCAGCGTCAGGCTGAGGTCCATTGCACCATCGGCGAGGTCTGTCTCGAGTCAGACAACATGGACGGTGCCATCAAGGAGTACACTGCTGCCGCTGAGATCTACAGCAAGACGCTGCCGCAGACCGATGGCGCCGTTGCCGAGGTCTACTATCTGCTTGGCACCTCGCAGCAGCTCGGCGGCCACCACACAGATGCCGAGGCCTCGTTCACCAAGGCCGCCGACGCCGTCGCCGCCGCCATCTCTGACTATGAGACTCGTGCAAAGACGGCCTCGCCTGAAGACGCGGCCAAGCTCTCGTCCAAGATCGCCGACCGTCGCGGCATCCTTGCCGAAATCTCCGACAAGATCGCTGAAACCAAGGCGCTTGCCAGCGAGATGGAGCTGCTGGCCAAGGCCAAGGCTGAGGCCAAGGCCAAGGCCGCCACCACATCGGCCGCTGTCGCCTCGGGCCGGGCTGGCTTTAAGAACGCCACCATCGACTTTGCCCCGCCGCCCTCGCGTCGCCTCTCGTCTACGGCCTCGTCGGCCTCGTCGGCCTCGACCAACGCCTTTGGTAAGCCATCGGCAGCCTCGACCGCGCCGGTCAACGACCTCTCATCGCTTGTCAAGCGCAAGCCAGCTGCCAAGCCGGCGGCAGGCGCCCCCGTCAATGACCTCTCCTCGCTCGTCAAGCGCAAGGCCAAGCCTTCGGCCCCGCAAGCCGCATCCCCCCCCGTCGGCTCCAAGCGTCCCGCCAATGCTGCTCCCGAAGACCAGCCCAAAGCCAAGAAGTGAATGAATAACCTCTTCCAGTTCACTGCCAGTAGCACGCGATACCTGGTACTCCGTTCGTCTTCCACCATCTGCCTACCTCTCCAACAATCAACCTCCTCCTACAATTGATCAGAGCTGCTCGTCGCCGGCCCCGGCTCGTCAGCCGTGCGAAAAATGTTAAATCGGTTTCATCCGTCCGCGCGACCCACACCGTCCTGCTCTTTCTCCCTGCCCACCACCCCAGCCAGCATGGCACCTTGGGCAACCGAGCAACAGCCGTCGCCAGGCGAGTGCGACTGCAACCATGGCTACCGACGAAGAGCTGGCCGCCTTTGAGGTAAGCCGTCTCCTGCCCTCTTCCTCCCTTCCCCCCCCACCCTTGCCTACCCTCCCCCCTCCCCCCCCCTCCCCCCCCCCCCGTCCCCCCGCCATCCTTCCACTCACAGCCTCCCTCTCACGGTCTTTGACGCTTCCGGCGACACTACTGCAGCGGCTGGCGCGGACGGCATACCTAGACATCGGAGCAGCACGGGCCGAGGCCGAGGCTGAGCTGGCTCCATTTCGGACGTCGCTCGAGACGGTGGAGACCTCACGGGCGGTGATGGTGAGGACCCGCGAGCCGACGGCGCTGCTGTACGCCACCCAGGCACTGATGTGGCTGGTGCCAAACAACTGGAGCGCGTTCTCGGTCCATGAGAGGAATGGCCTTCGGAGCTTTGTTCTTGAGCTCATCTACGAGCGAGCGCGTGAGCTCGAGCCGTACAACGAGACCTTTCTCATCGCCCTCCTAGTCCGCCTCTGCAAGCTCGGCTGGCTCGACGAGTCCGGCATGAACTCGCTTGTCGACGACGTCTCCACCTTTTTCAATACCTCGTTTGCGCACTGCGTCCTCGGCATGCGCATCTACGAGCAACTCATCCAGGAGATCAACCAGCAGTGGACCGGCCACTCGCCCATTGAGCATCGCAAGTACGTGACGGCCTTCCGCGATTCGGCCCTCTCGGACATCTATGCGTCGTCGCTCACCCTGCTCCGCCGCCTTGTTTCTGGCGCATACGGCAACGAGGATCCGGCTGCACAAGAGGCGCTCGCCGTCAATGCCCTCAGGGTCGTTGCAGAGTGCTTCAGCTTTGACTTTATCGGCACCCTCACCGACGACCAGCGGGCCAAGAACTCGTCGCTGCAGATTCCCGACGGCTGGCGCGAGTCGATTGAGGATCCGGACACACTGCAGCTCCTATTTACGCTCTACTCGCACGCCGCCGTCTACTCGTCCAAAGCCCTCGAGGTCATCACTCTCTTTGTCGCCGTCCGCCGCTCGCTGTTCTCGTCCGAGGATGTCCGCCTCAAGTACCTCAACCAGCACATGCAGTTTGTCATCAACGTTCTCGAACACTCGGTTGCGCTTGGCGACGAAGAGTGCTACCACCACTTTTGCCAGTACATCTCGCGCCTCAAGTCGCAGTTCCACGTCACCTATCTGGTCAAGGCGCCGGCGTACGAGCAGTGGATTTTCGCGGTTGCCAACTTTTCGGTTGTCTCCTTTGAGTCGATCGGCACCTCGTCGGGCTCCATCTACCACATCTTGCACTTTTGGAACGCCATGTGCATGTCAACGACCAACGGCGGCGTGTTGACGTCAAAGCTGGAGCCGCTGGTGGCCGGTCTCGTCGAGGCCTTTGTCGCCTCGCGGCTCAATCTTGTTGTCGCCGTCGCCGACCACCAGGTCATGGACGATCCGCTATCCTCGCCGCCGCTGCTGGAGGAGACGCTGGCAGCATTTCCCGCGCTCGGCCGCTTCCACTACGAGGCCGCCGGCCGGTACGTCCTCTCGGCATTTGATCCGCTCATCGACCAGTACATGGGCGCCGTCCAGGCCGCCCACGACTCGGGCGGTGCGCCGCAGGTCCTCTTTCAACTTGGCGTGCTCGAGAGCCAGCTCGCGTGGCTTGTCTACCTCGCCGGCGGCCTTGTGTCGGGCCGGACTGCCTCGCGCAAGAACCCGGATGAGGACATGCTCGACGGCCATCTTGCCGTCCGCGTATTCCAGCTCCTCTCTACCTCGGACCAGGTGCTGAGCGAGCGCGGGCAAGACCACGCTTCGGTTCACCTCGAGCGGGCTCTGCTGTACTTTATGAAAAAGTTCCGCAAGGCCCACATCGGCGACCAAGCTCTTTCGCTCTCGCGGGCGTACGCTGCCCTCGGCTCAGAACTCAACCTCCCCGACTCGGCCGCTGTCCTCCGGGTCATGATCGAGAAGATCTGTGTCAACCTCTCTGCGTGGTCTTCCAACGAAGATCTGCTGAGCATGACGCTCTCGTTGTTCATGGACCTCGTCACCGCGCCGTACACCTCGCTTCCACTCCTCTCCAAGGTTGCCGCCATCGACTATCTGCTCCATTCGCACGGCAGCGGCGAGCTTGCCTTTCTTGCCGATGCGGGCAACGCCGGCCCGCGCAAGCAGTTCTACCACATTCTCGGCATTGTCATCTTCCGCGACGACAACATCGCCAAGTTTGACGCCTTTATGCAGTGCTTTGGCGAGGCCTTTGCCTCGATCGCCTCTGCGCTCGAGGCCGACGACGCGAGTGTCCTCGCCTCACCGCAGTTCCAGCACGCGCTCCAGGCGCTGTTCCTCGACCTCACCGGCGTCCTCACTGCGGCCAAGAAGGACAATCACTACCGAATCTTCTTTGACTGGATATACCACGACTTTGCGCCGCTCATCCTCGCGCTCGTCGAGCGGTACTACGACAACCCGAGCGTGGTCAACCCCATGCTTGTTTTTTGGGCCGACCTCGTCAACAACCCGTCGCGGCGCATCAAGTTCCCGCCGGCCTCGCCCAACGGCATCCTGTTGTTCAAGGCCACGTCCAAGATTCTGGTCGCCTACGCCGCCCAGCTGCTGCAGAACGGTTTCCCGGCCGCGGTTGAGGAGTTTGCCGCCGTCCGCCTTGCCGCAGCCTCGCAGGCCCAAGGCCCCTCGTCCGATCGTACCGCTGCTGACGGCGACGCCAACGCCGAGGGCCCGTCGCACGCACTCGCTGCCCAGCTCGAAGCCACCTTTTCTGGCATCGAGCTCTGCCTCGCCATGCTCCGGCTCTCGTTCTCCGGTGACTACTGCTGCTTTGGCGTCTTTGACCTCTACGACGACAAGGCGCTTGTCGACGCCATCGACTGCGCGCTCGCCCTTGTCGTCGCCATTCCGTTCGAGCTCCTCCTCCTCTACCCAACGCTTTGCTCTGGATACTACGCCTTTTTGGAGGTGCTGGCCAAGACCCACACTCGCGAACTGTTGCGGCAGAGCGAAGAGACGCTAGGCCGCATCCTGCTCTCGCTCAAGTCGGGCTTGCAGTCGTTCCAGCGGCGGATCTTCACCCAATCATGCGGTGCGCTCGAGTTCCTCACCACCTTTCAGTACGAGATGGCGTCGGCCGGCAAGCACCCGGAGCTTGCCGAGATGCTGCAGAAGCATCTTGACTCACAGGCCGCCGCAATCTACCCAGAAATCCTCGAGGTCCTCGCCTCGATCTACCTCCTCATCGACAACTCGCGTCTCCCGCAGTGGGCGGTCGCCAAGCCCTTCCTCAACTTTATCGTCCTCTACTCGAACGAGTTTGAGCGGATCAAGGCTGATATCGTTGCCCGGGAGCCGCCGCACCGCCGCGAGCGCATTGCCGAGGCCTACGAGACACTCCTCGATGACGTCGACTCCACGCTAGACGTTAAGAACCGTGACCGCTTCGGCCGCCGCCTCGCCGCGTTCTGTCGCATGATCAAGGAAGTTTGAGCGCGCTGCCGCACGAGCAATGGAGTTCTCGGGATTTACGTCGACGTGCCTGTGCTTGCTGTTTTGGAGCCGACTTTGGCGCCCTTGCGACGGCTGCCAGCCGACGAGGCACCAGCTCCGCCGGCACCGCTGCGAGCCGCACTCGACGAAAACTGCTCTCCGAGCGAGATGTAGACGGTCATGTCGCGCGAGAGCTGGTTCACATCCTTGATGTGGACGCCATCCTCGGTGTACATGCGGCGTGCTGCTGACGGCAGGCCCAGGACACGAGTCGCCTCGTCGAGGAGCTCCTTGAGCGATGCGCCCACGATGTGGCGGCCGGCTTGCCGCGAGCCCCACCCGTTGCGGTGGGCGTTGAGCCGAATGTTGCCTTTGACCAGTAGACGCGAGCCCTCTGAGATGGGGGCAATGAGCGACTCGACACGCGAGCCGTCGAGCGGCTTAAATGGTTCGCCGCACGAGACAACCACGTGCATGTCGTTGGTGATGTCCTTGAGCGAGTTGATGGGCACGCCGGACGTGGTGTACAGCCGCCGCGCAGACGCAACAAGATGCAGCTTGCGGGTGCACTCTTCGAGCACCTGCCGCATTGACGAGGCCACCACTCGGACCGCGTCGCGGATGGCCGACTCGCCGTTGCGAAAGGCGAGCATCCGCGCTGTCGGCGGGGGATTGAGGTGCGATGAGGCCGGAAGCTCGGCAATCTGCTTGGCCGCCAGCTGCGTCGGGTCCATCGGATCAATAAAGCCCTCGCCCACAGAGACGTAGTACAGCTGGCCGCGCTCAAAGCGGTCAAACTCATGGACAAGCTCGCCAGTCACTGTGTACAGCCGCCGCGCCGCAGACGTCAGGGAGAGCCGCGTTGTCGCCGACTCTAGCAGCTTTTCCATAGTGTTTCCCACCACAAGAACCGACTCGCCGCGGAAGACATCCAGCTGCTTCTCTAGCGTTGCTTGCCGCGAGAGCGACTTGTGCCCGTTGCGCAGCGCCCGGATGGCCTTTGCCGGCTCCTGAAGCAGCCGGTGGTCATCGGCAATCTTAACCCCGCGCTTGATCGGCGACTTGTCGGCCGGATCGTGCCACGGCTCGCCAACAGAGACCACAATGGTCTGTCCGTTGGCCAGTTCTGCCACCGACTCAACAAGCTTGCCCTCTTCGGTAAATACCCGCTTGGCGCACGCCACCAGGTTAAGCTTGGCCGTGCAGTCGGTAAGCAGCATCTCCATCTCCTGCGCCGGTGTGTAGAGGCCCGGCAGCGGCGCCACAATGATGAACCGATCGTCGGACGGGTCGCCATTCTTCTTGGCGTACAGCCGCTTGGTCGTCTGCCGCACCAGCCGGTGGTCTGCGCCGATCGACGACGTCGTCACCCGCGGGCCGTGCCGCATCGGGTCCTGGAACGCCTCGCCCGCCGAGACATACACCACTGCATCGTTCTCCAGCCCATCGAGCGTGGTCACTGTGTTGCCCTCTACGTCGTACACCTTGCGGGCCGCAGCCACCAGGCCGAGTTTGTCCGTTGCCAGCCGCAGAAACTCGTCCATCGACGACGCCGCCACCGTCGCCATCTCAAACTCGTTGTTTGATCCGTTGCGGAAGACTCTCACCCGCGCAGCCTTGGGCGGGAGCCGGGTGAAGAGTGACGGCTGCATCATGACCGACTTAAGATGCGACGGCGACTTTGACCGCGACCGTCCTCCCGGCGACGGCGACTCGCCTCCCATGGTTGACCGCATGGCCAGTGCCGACTTGGCATGCGCCCGCGCCCGCGCAGGCGTCCGTGTCTTGGGCTGCAGCATCTCATCCAGAATCACATTGGTCTCGAACCGGATGTTGCCATGGCTCTCACACAGCTGCGCCACACCCACGCAGCCAGAACGGCCACCGCGCCAGAATGCCACCGCGCCAGAACACCACCGCGCCACCGCCTCACCAGTGAGTCTTCCCCCGCCCTCCCTCCCCTCCTCCCCTCTCCCCTTTGCAACAGTCATCCAACCACCCACCAAACCACCCACTGCCCCCATTGCTGCCCCCATACCTGTGTGATGATGTCGCGGAGCTGGTCTGGGGTGCACTCGGCGAGCCGTGAGCGCAAGGCCCGTGTGCGGAATGCGCTCGACATGCCGAGGGAAGGAAGGGAGGGAGGGAATGTAGGGGGTTGCGTGGTAGTGTGGTAGTGTGTGTGCCTGTGCCTGTGTGTGTGTGCGTGTGTGTGTGTGTGTGTGTGTGTGTGTGTGTGGATGGGGAAGGGAGAGAGGGAGGGGAGTGTGATGTGGTGGCTGACAACGGCTTGCCCTTCCTGGCCGTGCGTGTGTGGTTTGTGGAAGACGAACATTCAACCGCCACTGCCGCTGGAGGCCTCCTGCCTCGAGATACGCGAGGTTCAGGCAGACTGCGACTTCAAGTCTGGACGGCTTGACGGACAGCTTTCCACATCAGGGTATCGTTTGTTGGTCTGACAGTGGCTGGTGCTCAAGGGCTCGGGGCGCGAACGATGACACAGGCACGACCAAGCTCGTCGTCGCTGGTAAACTTGTCCTGGTCCATGACAACCAGCTCGAGGTCCTCGACCCGGCCGTAGACGTAGAGCGGCTGGAGGTTCTGGTGCCACTCGGGATCGGCAGACTTGGGCGCAACCGCCGACGAGACGGAGGCGCCGTGGCCGCAGCGGGCGACGACATAGGCATCGCTCTTGTGGGCGAGGCCTGAGGCGGAGACCAGGGTGAGTGCCAGCGCACCGTGCGGCGGCGCTGCACAGTGCTGGAGGCAGGCGACGACGTGGATGGCGGCCCCGCGCCCAGACGAGAGCGGGAGCCAGAGATCCAGCGGGACGCCAGGGTGGAGCAGCTCGACCGGCAGCGAGGTCGAGCCTAGGACCCGGTCACCAGAGACGACCTCGAACAGGATCGACGCCGGGTCGTCTCCCGGAGTTCCGGTAACGACCACCTGGGTATCGTACTCCCACTGTGGACTGACGGTGCCCCGAATCGGACCGGTGGAGGCCTTGAACGCACCAAAGATGACGTTGCATGCCGGCGCGAGTTCAAACACGTCCTCGACCGGATCACCGAGCTCACGGGCGGCGATGACTGCCAGCTCGATGACGCCGCGCGGCGGGCCATGCAGGAGCCATGACGGCGCGCTGGGATCGAGGATTTCCAGATGGAGGTGGACACGCCCGGCGGCGCCGGTCTCGCCCGACGCACCAGCGCCAACAAGATCGACCCACACGTCCGCGCGAACATTGGTCTCCAGCTTGTCTAGTGGGACAAAGGCCTGGCCGACCAGCTCTGAACCGCCGAATATGTCGTTGTCGCGGACCTCGATCTCGAGCAGCGCGCCTGGGGCGAGCGGCTTGGCCAGCGAGCCGCCGGCGTGCCAGGCCGGCGATGTCGATGCAGGCGCGTGTCGAGACCGCAGCTGGACAAGACCGTCGAATTTGACGAGAGCCTCGTAAGAGCCGGGCGTGCGCTGCCTGCCCGTACTGCCCTCAAGGACGGCGTCCAGCTCGGCCACCGCCACCGGCGGCGGCTCGGGAACAAAGACCCGCTGCGCGCCGGGAGCAAGCTCGCCGTCCATGGCGTAGTACTCGTTGATGAGCTCGGTGCACTCGTCGAGTGAGCCTGGAGCGGGGGTGACGCCATCGAGCGAGCCGCCCTCGGCGCGCATGGCAGCCAGAATGGCGCCAGTGGCGAGCACGTTGTTTTCGGCCACGTCCTCGCCGAGCTCAAAGGCTTCGTCGACGGCTTGCCCGTACATCTTGCCGCTCTCGGTATCTTGCAGGATGTTGTCGCCGTAGGAGAGGCCCCAGCCACCGACCTTGATGGTAAACTTGGGGTCAACAACTTTGGCGTTGTACGCGGCCATCATGGCCTGTGCAACCTTGGCGGCCTCGAGCGCGTTCCACGCCGAGTCAAAGAGGACAAAGCAGTTGTCGGCCTCGGTGAAAAAGTGCTTTGCGCCGTAGGCAGCGTAAATGGCTGAGCACACCTGTCGCATTTTGAGGATGAGCGAGGCGTAATGGACAATGCCGTGCGCCTTGGTGATGCGCGTAAAGCCGGACATGTCCGAGACAAGCACGGCACCGGCAGCAGGATACCGGAGGCAGTGAATCTCGGTACCATGCTTCTGCGGAGGGGCCGCATCGAGGCTGGGCGGGCGGGCGAGCTTGGTGCCTTCCTTGGCCACAGCGGTGTACGCAGTGAGTTCGACCTTGGAGATGATGATCGAGTGCGGCTCAAAGACAAGCTGACCAAACTGGACTGACGACTTGAGCGCAGCGTGGACTTCGCGGGTGACAAACAACTGTCCGTCCTGTGCATAGTCTTCTGCAAGCTTGGACGCCACGTTGAGCGGATCACCCCAGTGGACGTTGGTATCGGGCACAATGAGCATGTCGCCGACGTGCACTCCGAGACCACGCACAACAAGCGCCTTGCGGTCCGCCTCGTCTCCACTGCCCAGGCCGGCATTGTATTGGGCCAGCAGCACCTTGGCGCCGAGCGCAGCCGAGACGGCAATAAGCGGATCTGAGAAGAAAAAGATGTTCTCCTCGATGATGGTCCCGTTGAGCGAGAGAACAAAAGGATAGAGGATCTGGGTGAGGGCGTGCATGTTGGCGATGGTCTGGTCGACTCCGTACTTGGCCGTTGTCAGGGCAAAGTTCATGCCGACCAGCAGCACCGCCCCGTTCTGCAGGTACCGCTCACCGAGCTCGGCGTCAACTCTGGCCAGGGCGTCAGCAGCAGCCGGACCGTGCCCAGCGAGCGCGAACCGCGCCTGCACGAGGTTGAAAAACATGTCCTTGGCAGGATGCCGCTGCGGAAGCTGCTCAGCCTCGACTAGCTTAACCGCTACCAGAGGACTCTGCTTGCGGGCCGGGCGCTGCGGGTCGGACGCCGTCTCGGCCTCGATTGCCGCCGCCACGTGGCGAGTGAGTTGGACATGGAGCGCGCCGGCGGTATCGCCCGCCATGCCGCTGCCAGCCGCGAGTGCGACGCCCTCAAACACAGTAGACGCCTTACTCCCGCCCCACACCGGGTCGGTGGCGTTAGACATCTTGGAAGTCTCAAACAACGACGCGCCGACTGAAAGTGAAACCCGCGCGTCTGGCGCCTTGCCGGCCTTGTTGCGGAGGTTGGTGGCCGAGAGGACTTCAACCTTGAGCGCACCGACAATACCGGCGGAACCGCTGTGAAGCGCGCGAGTGCGGGTGCCGGCGGTTGGGGCCATGCCGACGTCGCACGGGACCGAGTGACGGCGGCCCGCACCGGCCTCGACGTTGACTGAGAGCGCAATCTGAATCGCGCCCGAGCCAAGCTGCGGATCGAGCGCAAGCTTGCGCACCGCTCGCTTGCCAGGCTTGAGGTCGACGAGCGCCAGCGTGGCGCGACCAAGCGGCTTGTTGGCACCCCACTGATCCCAGTTGAAGACGTCGAGCACAAAGCCGGCGTCGAGCTCGGCGGGTGAGCACATGAGCGAGAACTGCTCGTCCCACTGCGGGTCCGGCGTGGCCGAGCCCTTGAGAATCCGCGACTTATGCCGAGACCGGCCGAGGGCCAGCTCAACAAACGGCGCAGAGGGCACACCGGCGTCATCGAGCGCCAGGCCAAGCCCGGCCATGATCTTGACGTCGACTCGGAACAACCGGGCCGCACGACCTGGCTCAGCTGATGACTTGGCCACCTTGGCCGACTCACTACCGTTGGCCACAAACGAGATCTTGGCTGTAACCGAGCCACCGGAAGCCGAGCCAACCAGCGGGAGGAGCACCGCATTGTCTGAGCCATCGAGCGCGAGGGTGTCGAGTGCAAGTTTGGCTATGCCGAGCGGATCGTTGGCCGACGCGCGATCCCAGTCAAAGACAGCAAAGCAAAGGGTGTCGTCTTCGCCGGCTTTGCTGGCAGGGAGCTGAAGCTGGAGGACCTCGTTCCACACCGGGTCGAGCGTCGACTTGATGACTTCGGTCTTGGCCGAGATCTCCCCGACGCTCACGGTACAGAACGGGTCGGACGACTTGCGGTCCTTCGCTTCGAGGCTTGTGGCCGATTCGACAACCACGCGGAGGGTGCCTGCAGGCCGCGGCCGAGGCGCGAGCGCCGTCGAGCTCGAGGATGCCTGCGTGTCGGTCTTGGTGAGCACGCCGCCGCCAAGCGCGTGCTGCTGGAACGAGAGGCGGAGGTGGACGGTTTGCGGCACACCGGGTGTGTCAAGGGCAACGGCAATGTCGCGCGAAGTGCCATCGACCGGGATGGTGCCGGTGGAGAGCGGGACAAGCGCGGTGCCAAGCTGCTCGTTCTTGGAGAGGCGATTGACGTCGTGGACGGCGAGTGCAAGGACAGTACCGCCCTTGGCGTTGTGGTCAGTTGGCGGAATGAGGTCGAGCCAGAGGTCGGCGGTCTGGTTCGGCTCGAGCTTGGAGAGCTCAGCAAGCGCCGAGCCGAGCAGGTCGTCGCGGCCGACGTCGGCGTCAAAGACTGAGAACTTGAGCGGAGCGCGGGTTCTGGAGAGCGATGACAGGCCGAGCTCACGTGCGGCAGCCAGGAGATCAAACTCAAAGGTGGCGTTAAAGACTGGATCGGCCGAGTTGGCCACCGGCTTGGTCTTGCCGCGAACAATCTCAGACGACCCAAGCTCTAGCTTGACGTACGCGTCAGCGCCCGAGGCCTCGCGGGCGTCGTGGAGACCCGCGGCACCGACAATGACCACTCGGAGTGTGTCCTCGACCACCGCGAGGCTGGGATCCGAGCCAGACTCGGACTTACCCTTGGCGTGGCCACTGCGGTGAATCGAGCGCGTCGCACTGTCCTTGGCATCGGCAGGCAGCGGCCACTCGGGCAGTTGGCCCGGGCTAACCTGCATGGCGTCGTAGGCGATCTCGACGTTGAGCTCACCGGCGGGGCGCCCGTCAGCATCCGTGAGCGCTAGTGCGAGTGCCCTCCGGCTTCCGAGCTCGACCTGGGGCAGCTCGCCAAACCGGGCGTCGTGCTTACGCAGAAAGGCATCTGTCCGCGCCACGTCGTAGTCCTCGGGCGAAAGGACTGAACGATGCATATCCGAGTCGAACATCGGCTCGGCAACGTCGTCGCCCTCGACGGGCTCGAGGCTGTCTGCGCGAAACTTGTCTGCATCCGCGAGGGCCGACGCCTCAATCGCGGTCTCGACCTCGTTGAACTGGCCGGCCTGGACCGGGACGGGAGCGGGGGATGGAGAACCAGAGGCCGAGACCGAGTCCGAACTTGAGTCTGAGCCAGAGTCGGAGGCCGAGGCGGACGGAGAGGCGGACGGAGAGGCCAAGGCTGAGTTGGAGGCCGAGGCTGAGGCTGAGTTGGAGGCTGAAGCTGAGGGAGAGGCCGAGGCCGAGTTGGAAGCCGAGGCCGAGTTGGAAGCCGAGGCCGAGTTGGAAGCCGAGGCCGAGGCCGAGGCCGAGTTGGAGGCGGATGCAGATGCAGATGCAGATGCAGATGCAGAAGCAGGAGCTGAAGCGGAGGCGGCCGAGGCCGAGGCCGAGACCGAGGGTGAAGCGAGTGGCGAGGTGCGCGAGGCAATAGCACCCGCACCAGTTGCGGCTTCCGAGCGCGGAGCCGGGACGGGGGCGGCTGCACTCGAGCCGACATCGTACGGTTCAAAGTCGCGGCCGTGGAGTGCGGTGGCCGAAGATGTGGCCTCGGCATGTGTCGGGGTAGTGTCGTCATCGAAGGGCGCGCCGACACCCGAGGTGTAGTGAAAGACCGAATCAACGGGTGGCGTGAAGGGGTCGTCGGGCGAGGACGGATCAAAGTAGACCGGGAGGCCGGTGGGGATCGAGCCAACGGCAAGGATCGGGACGAGATAGCGCTGGAGCGAGAGGTCCTCACGGAGGCGATGGAGGCGGGCGGCACGTCGCTCCTCGGCGAGGAGCAGATTGTGGGCCTCTTCCTGCCGGCGGCGGAGAAGGATCTTGAACTGTGCAGCGGCAGACATCTGCGAGGCAAGGGTGCCACGAAGCTCGGGCTCCTTGTAGTGGAAGCGAGTGTCCAGCAGGAGCGGGTTGTTGCGGAAGGAGAACGGGAAGTAGCTCTCAAAGCCGAGGTTAGCGAGGATGTTGGCGTCTGCGAGCATCTTGATCAGATAGTTTGAGCCGCGCCAGGTAAAGCCGTAGGCGTCGGAGAGGCCGTCGCGCCACTCTACAATGGCCTCGACGACCGAGACCGAGGCAATACGCAAGTCGTCAGCGGCCGTGGTGACAGCAAGCTTGGAGGCAGACTCGGGGAGCGAAGCCATGGCATCGAGTGCCATCTCGCGGAGCTCGATGGCCTTGAGCACTGCAAGCGTACGCTTACGGTGGACGAGAAGCGCGTCGTAGATGGAAATCATTTCGTCCCAGGCGTGCGGCTGGAGAACGCCGGCATCAGCGGGGTTGGGCTCGACGGTGGCAAACCACGACGCCGCGTACATGGCCCGCTCGATGGGCGGCAGGTGGAGCTCGGACCAGAGCTTGTCAATGGCAGCCATAAGCGTGGCTGGTGAGCGCGCGGCGGCGGCGGCCGAGACCGACGCCTGGCCGCCTTGGGTCGAGTACCCGTAGTCGAACGAGGCAAGCGGGCCGCGGCCGCGGACGACCGAGTTGACCTCGGCGTCGACGGCGTCGATGAGGGCGGCATCGCGAGGGTCGATACCGCGACGAACTGACGTAACCTGTCGCGAATCAAGTGCAGAGTGAGCCCGCGGCGCCGCGGCGCGTGACGGCGGCCGCGCAGGCGTCGCATCCCAGTTGAGCTCGCGCTCGACGGTCGAGCGGCGCGGGTCGGTCGCCGCGTCAAACGGGGTGTCCGAGACGATGCCGCGGACCTTTTCCCGAAACTCTGCGAGCGTCTCTCCGCCCACGCCGTCGTCCCTCCGCGAGTCACCTGCGTCTGGCGTCCTCCTTGTCCGGCTCACTGTGCCTGCGCGTGAGGGTGGGGCTCGGGTAGTCTCGCGGCGTCGTGACGACTGCCGCGAGGGGACCCTAGTCCTGGGGCGGCCTCGAGCAGGCATGGTGCAGGACGTGGCTGTGGCTGTGTGGGTGTGTGGGAGAGGGAGGGGGAGGGGAAGGGAGAGGAGGAAGGGAGAGGACTATGCGGAGCTGCGGGTGGAGCTGGGTTGTGGTTGTGGTGTCGGGTGGTGTACGGCCGGCGTAGCGGGGCGGTACTGGCTTGCGGCGTGTGCGCGAGCGAGCGAGCGAACAACGGCTTTTTCGGGGTGAGAGGCCAGGGAGTGGCGGTGGTTCGGGCACTTGAGCTGTGCATGCCACATATTTTTGTGTGTGTTGATGGTGGTGATGGGTGTGTGTGTGTTATTGATGCCATTGCTGATGCTGCTGGTGTTGGTGGTGGTGATGGTGCTGATGCTGCGGCTGTTGGTGCTGGTGGGCGTGCTGGTGGGCGTGCTGATGGGCGCGGTGGTGGGTGTGTGCGTGGCCAGCCGAGGCGCCTGCGGGGTAGCTGTGCTGGTGGGCGTGGGTGTGGCGCTGGGCGTGACCGTGCTGCGGCATCTGCGGGCGGATGTGGTGATGGGCGGGGCCGGGCATGGCGTGGGCGTGGCGGGCGTGCGGGCCCGGGAAGGCGGAGGGCGGCGGGTCGCGAGACGACGGGGTGTGCGCGGGCGGCGGTGCGGTGGAGACGCGGAGGAGGTCGTTGACGGCGGCGCCGATGGCGCGGTTGAGGTGAGCGTAGGAGGCGACGATGATGGACTGGCCGTCGCGGGAAAGAAGCATGATCTGCTCGTCGGAGGCGATGTCGAGCTTGTTGAGACACTCAACGACGTGGCCCATGTCGCAGACGGGCACGCCGTCCTCGGTGATCTGGTGGAAGACGTAGTCGCGGAAGAGCTGCAAGAGGTAGCGGTCGTCCGTTTCTGCCCAGTTGGGATCGGGCATGTCCTCGGGCGGGCGCTCGTTGATCATGCCGAGCTTGGTGACGAGCGAGAAGAGGCGGCCGTTTTCGAGCTCCTTGGCCAGCTCGGCCTCGAGCAGATCTGCGGCGAGCTGCGCTCGGTTGAGCTCGTCGAGGATGTGTGGCGCGAGGGTTGCCGTGAGGTCTGCGACGGTGGTGTACTTGCCGGCGACTGGGCCTGTGAGCATGAGGCGGAGAAAGTTTGTCCACTCGGGCGAGTACCGCGGCTCGACAAAGGACAGCGCGGTGCTCGGCTCGGCCGGGCCGAGCGAGACCGAGGAGAGGGCCAGCAGGAGCTTCCCGAGCGCAAAGATGTCGTCGGCCTGGAGCGCGGCGAGCTGCGGCTGCTGGACGTCGGCGTGAGAACGTCGACCATACCCGCCGATGAGATGAGGAGGCGCGAGGCCGGGGTGAGGACGACCTTGGAGGCGACAAGCGCGCGGTGGGCGAGGCCGGCGCCGTGGATGGCCGAAAGGCCGGCCACGAGCTGGACGGCAAACGACCAGAGGCGGGCCTCGGGGACGAGCGCTGTCTGTGGGCTGCGAAAGTAGAGCTGTGTCAGCGACTTGGCGCCTGGATGGTAGTCGTAGACAAAGCAAAGAGCCCGCTCGCCAAAGTCTTTGGTTGTCCAAGCCTCGCGGAGCGCGATGACGTTGGTGTGGCGGACCTGGCGCCACATGTCGACGAGCGAGACGGCGTACTCGTTGGTGAGGCGGAAGCGATCGACTCTACGGAGCGCGTACGGCATGCCGTCCTCGGCGGAAATCGCCTTGTAAACCGAGGTCCGCATGCCAAAAATGTCCGAGACGGCCTGGCGCGCAACGGCGTCGTCGAGCGGAAAGAGGGTGTGGTACCGTCCGGCTCGGAGCGGGACCGAGCCGTCCTCGGCATCGGTGTGGGCAAGGACGAGGGCGTTGTTCTTGGCCAGCCTGTTGCGCACGCCTTGGTCCATAAAAGCCTCGCCGAGTGCGCGCTGTGCATCTGACGGCGCGCCGGCCGACGGCGGCGGCGCCGCGTAGTAGTGCATGGGGATCGGGACGTACTTGGCCGGCGCGCCGGCCGCCTCGGCCGGAACCGACTGCGCGGCGGCGGCCACGCTCAGCTCGGCTGGTGGTAGGCTTCCGACTACCAGGTACGATGCACCGGACTGGGTGTGGACCACCGCGGCCGGCGGCGGACCGGGCGCGGCGGCGGCCATGCTCGGCGGCACAAACTCAGGCGCGGCTGCGGCGAGCTGCATCGCCGACGACGGCGCCGATGCCGACGGCGCCGATCCGGCTGCGGCGTCGGGTGTGTCGACGCTACTTTCAGCCCGACTGGGAGCCTTAAACTCGGGTGCGTTGGCGTTCATGGCGGTAGTCGGTGTTGGCGCCGACGCCGCCAGCTGCTGCAGTGCGGCCTGGACCGCGGCCACGTCGTGGTTGAACTCGCATCCGGCGCCCTCGTACTTGCACGACCAGTATGACGCAACATTGCGACAGAGGCGCGATGCCTTGGGAAGCGCCGCCGACGCGGCCGCCAGCTGGTGCAGCTCAGCCGACGACAGGCCGCCAGGCCCGGTCGTCCCGGCCGCCGCCACGCCTGGCGCCGCTCCGCCGCCTCCGGGCGGGCCCTCGTGGGTAAAGTTACACTAGGAGGAGCATGAGTTCTAGTTGCCTATGTGGTGTGTGTGTGGTGATGGTGGTGGCGGTGCGGGTTCCATGGTTGTGTTGTGTTGTCCTTCCCCCCTCCCTCC